GCATAGGTAACAATAAGGCAAGACACGACTACCAGAACCGGGCAAAATCAAATCATCTTGAGGCTCTTTTCGGGAGCGGGAGTAAGGTAAGGGAGCGTGCAAGGTGGGAATGTGGATGGGGGAAGGGTGGAGATGATCGGATAGCGACCACACACCTTTCCCATAAGCCGCCCTCCCCCCTTCAACCATCCCTCCCTGCTATCCTTGAGTACATTGCGAGGACACTCGTCTCCCGCTTCTATCCACGCCCTCCGCGTAGTGTATCCATGCGGGATAATTGGCAAACAGAGAGAAGTAAGAAAAACAAGATGAACAACAAGAGATGGAGAGAAAAAAAAATTTACGACAAGCCCCGTTCCCCCGAGATCCAGCAGGCTGAAAGCCGGGGGGGGAGGGAGAATAAAAAGGGGAGACGAAAGGGGGGATTGGATTGGTTGAGTTGTTTGGAATTTTTCCTTCCTTTTTTTTCCCTCTAGCGAATTCGGGATTTACCGAGACGAGACCAACAGCAAAAGGAAAAAAAAGACAGAGAAAAAAAAAACAGCACGCATTGCATTGCATGTCGTATCTGTTTTCGTGCAGCAACGCGAGATTGGACTCTCCACTAAGAGGCAACGACTCCAGTACCTTACACAGTAAGAGGGCACTCGACTCCATGGCCGGTGTGTGGTCCGCCTCACCGGTCCGACGACCCGATTCAGGTCGTAGTCGTTGGTTCGCTTGCGTTCCGCGCCAACGACTTGTTAGTGCCAAGACTAGCCAGGAGGATCACTACCTTTGACAAGGGTTGTATCCGTACTGTCCCAGCGAGTGAGTAGAATGAGTTGCAGGCTTGCAGAGTGTGGCAAACCAAGTCGTCGCGGGGCCAGCCACCGCCGTCATCGTCAGCCTCGGCGTCTTTCCTCTCTTCTCTGGTGACTGTTCTACCCATATCGGCGGAGACGACCTTTCCGGCATTCCCAGCTCCATCTTCGTGCTGGTGGTGTCTACCGCTGATCGTGGTCAAGTAGAGTTGCATCCCGGGATTTAGACGCACCGTTGAGAAGCCGACCCGACACATATCGCATGCTGCCCCTTCCGCATGCCAATCATGCGACTGACCTGAGACATGCATACCGATCCCTCCCCAATTATGCAATACTCGCGGTACAAAGGGATGACAACCGGCAGATGAGAGTGTGTGTGGTCAACCAAAGTGGATGGCGTGTTCCCATTGCCCCTCTTTTGTCTACATAATATCGTGTCTACATAGTAATGTTGCCTAGGGTGCCCTTCATGGGCTGCCTGCCGAGATACCTTACTCTGAAAAACACAAAGCACGTCCTGTTCCCTTCTCGGCTACACTCGGCCGATTTGTTGTTTCCTTGGATTGATATCTTCATGTACAGGGTATATATACTGTTACATAGATAAACGAGAGCAACCCGGTGCAAGGTTGTCTGGATACACCCAGGTTGCGTCGAAATAAACAGCCAATGTGTCTCTCCGATCTCGTGGGGGAAAAAAAAGGCCAAAAAAGCAGTTGTTCAAATGCCTCCCCAGACGCCGTGAAATGCAATACAAGTGTGAAAATAGTAAAAACAAAAACATTTCTGGTGCGAAAACAAAAGTTAAACCCGTGTGTATACGATGTCGACAATACGCGTAAATGTTGTGTCCATTGGATCATCCATTTGCCAGCACTTTCCCAAAGGGAGAATGCTGTCTTGACCCTCGTTTTCGTTGTCAAATGCTCTGCCGCCGACGGTCGATGCTGCTCCAGGCTGAAGGTCCCGCAGACGACGCAGTGCGTCCAGTCGATGTTCCAGCGTAGCTTGGTGACGGCGTGCCTCATCCCACACCATACTTGCTGCTTCAACTACGTTGCTTGCAACGACCAATCGGTCCCAAAGAACAGATATTTCCCATAATGAGCCCTCAGCAGTGAGCACATCGGCAGCTTCCAGTACCGCGTAGCTCATGAACGGAGGAGGTGCTTTAAGTGGGGTTCGCCGGGTTTGAAGTAGCACCTCCAACATGCCCGTGATTTCCAGCAATTGTTGTGCTTCCTTTTCGATCATTATGAGGCATTGCATCCGCATTGCTGCCGAGATTCGGCCGGAGCAGTTCGAGTGACGGTGGGCCTTTACAAGACCATGGTGGTACAGAAGATGAATCGTAAGGAATGTGCCGAGAGTGCCATCCTGAGCCGCCAAGTCCATATTGCCCGAACTGTAGGCAAGCTGCCCAGGAAGAGACTCACGCCAGCTGATTAGCCTCAAGATGGAGCTTTCCACAAAGACTACTGGCTGTCCGTCTGAGGGTAAACCCTGTGCTGTCCTATACACGCTAGCCATGACGTCTGCCCAGATGGTCACAACCTGGATAGGATAGGCCGATAATGCTAAACTTTGATTCGCCATCTTGGGCGAGCTCGAAGGGAGCGCCGGGAAGAAGGGCGCCTGAGAAGCCTGTTGGCTTTGGAAGACTTCCGCTTCGCATGGTAACCGGATGAATATGTCTAGAGGATTTAGACTGCTCAGGCGGATTGGAAACATGCCGTTAAGTCGTTCTAGCACAAAGCAAGCCCAGTACGTCAGCCTCCGGCTTTCAGCAAACCCTTCTCTATTAAAGCCGCACGGTTAAGTCGTCTGGCGAGCGTCGATCGATTTGTCGAGTTCTAGGTTTAGCTGAAGGAATATGGCTGTCGATATAGCCGCACTGGTCATCTCGTTCGCTTCGCTGGACCTGGGCGTAGGAATATAGTAGAGCGCCAGGAGTATTCGAGCTTGCACAAGCTGAAGACTAGGGGCAATCAATTGTTGCGCGTAGCGAGCGACTTGAGCGTATTCCGAGGCGATTGTTCTATGTCCACCTGACAAGGTGACCCCGACGGCGAGGATGCTATAGGTGAGCATCAGGTCTTCTGGAGACTTTGTATGAGCATTACCAGTCAACCAGGATTTAAACGGTGTCTCGGGCAAGAATCAAAGGGCCATGGTGCTATCCGTTTGTACGAAGAAGGAAGAGATGAAGGTATGAACTGACTGAGGGTCTGAAACGTACGGGTCTGATTGCCATGCTCGGTGAAGCACGTCCTCGTGGATCCGAGGGAGCTCAATTGGCTGGCGGTGTTGCCAGGCGTTTGCCTTGGCCGTCTCTGGTGTCCGGCTCATCAGAGCGGGAGGTTCGCTCGTCATTGGGGGGTACGTGTCGAAACCGAGGCGCATCCTCTTGTGAGGCATTGGCGGCTCGGGGCTGGGTTGACGGTACGTGGTCCGAGGAGAAACAGAGGCGCTGGAGTTGCTGCCAGGGCGGTGCATGTCGTTCGAGTTGGCCGAGCCTCCCAGGCGTCTCATGTCCTCCGGTTCAGCAGGAGGGGTCGATGGGGACGTGTTGTGGCCGCCTCGCGGTCTGGAAAAGCCATCTCCACGTTAGCAAACAGAGGCGAAGAAGAGGGCTTCGCTACGATGACGAGCTGCTTGTCGACACCACTTACGCGTTCTTGAACTTGCATATCCTGCCAAATTTCTCGCATTGGACACAACGAGGGTAGTCCGGGTCGCATTTGATTTTCTTTTCCCTGCAGGTAACACACGCAATAGCCAGTCTCTTTCTTGGCTTCCCTGCCTTCGTCACACCCCAGTGAGCATTGACTGCCTCGCCATCAATGACCGTCTTGCAGTGACTTCCGTCGTCGTAGAAATAACACATCCCTTCGCCTGGCACCTCGGCAGCACGGACGAATCGGGGAAGGAAATGACTTCCCGTCCATATCTTCGGACCAAGACCATCTTTAGAGGGGATCCCTTCCGAGGTCGTTGTACTAGCCGATGTCGATGCCTGCAAAAGACCTGGGCCAGATGGGGAGCGCTGGTCCCGATAGGAAGAGCCAGAGTCTTTGTTGCTGGAATACTGATAGGACATCCTGTCATGCGAGGCCCGTAGTGGAGGCTGGTTCTCCCTGGATACCAGTGCGTACTCGTGCTTCCCAGCGTCGTGATGCATCGACCACTTGCTACTCAAACCGACATCAGACCTAGACTCGGGGCGCATGTGTTCCGACTCGCGGTACCTCGGCGATCCAGGGCCAGAGAAGGAACGGGACAAACCATGCAAGGCCTGCCTCTCGTGGTCATATTTAGCATCGTAGGTACTCCTCGGCTGGGACATTGTCGGGGAGCTTTCTTGAGGCGGAAAGTACGATGTGGCATAAGAGCGATCATTTTGAGGTTGCGGCATGCGCGGGCGGTCCAGAGGAGACGTCGCCGGGTAAGGACCCGGCCGCTCGGCCATTGGAGAGTGCAATAGCCGGAGTGGTGGAGGAGGTCCAAACAGGCTGCTCAGTGATGGCAGTTGCTGCCGCGGAGCGCTTTGTGTCGAATCCTTGCGGGTCGGACCGCCTTCAGCACCTTTGCCGGCGGTCGACACATCGGCCGCCGAGCTATGTTCGTAGCTGGACATGGAAGGGGATACGGGGCCAAACCTGGCGTCCCAGAGTTTTTCGGCAGGAGGAGATGGCCTGGAGGAGTAAGATGATGAAGATGGGCTAACCAGCCCGGGCGGAGAGTCTGGGGCGGCCAAACGGGGATGAGGTTCCAGAGCTAAAATACCCATTGAAAGAGCGAATTGATGCCGTTGATGGGAGAGCCGTTTGGCAGTGGCGGCCTAGAGCACCTCGGGATGCAGTCAAGTTCGAGTCCACGACCTCGACAGTCAAACAGCAAGACCGGAAGAAGGCCCAGGCAAGTTATATTGCTCAGCTCAAGACTCAAGCTAACAAAGCGGGCTGGCACACCGCTGTCATTAAGGTTTTATGCCACGTCCGGGGTGGCTTGAGAAAGAGCAGGAGTCCAATGACCGAAAGGTCGTCAACGATGTTCGTATAGGAATGCGGAGTGTCGGTGGTATGGCGAGTTCGATAAGACGGTTGGTCTGGGAAGAGCTTCACATCTCCTGTCGATAAGCGTACTCGAAGAAGAAGTTGAAAGTTGACTTGTGGTTCCAGCAGAGACAAGGAGGGAGGGAGAAGGGTAGAAGAGGGCGAATGAGGGTGAGTAGGATATAACGGAGCCGGGTGGCTTTTTGAGCAGTAAGGCAGGCGCGGAGAGCGCCTCAAGGTATGCACATCCTATCCACCCAAATGAATATACGTTCACGGGAGCTGTTGCCCAGTTGCCCCCCTTGGGCCACACTCGTCGTAACGAGCTGCGAGTGAGATGGACCGAGGGGCCAAAAGGAGACACTAAGGAACAGGACCAACAGACTGGATTGGCTTGGCTCGTTAGATTGGATTGGGGAAGGGAGCCGGAAGGGGCACCGATAGAGTGCTGCAAGTGTACACGACGGGTAGGAAGTACCGTTCGTTCTAGGCGCACACACGTGCGGTGCATCTTCCATGACCCTTGCCCGAGTCTCCGCCATCTTTTCGGCTTAGCTAGGATGGTGGGGAGGGGGGAAGGGGG